GTACATTGAAATGATCTGATTATGTGTTCTTTTCCCATTAAAAATGTGTGCTTTACAAAGACAAGGACTGTATTTTGTTTATCTCCAAGCACTTAGCATCAGACTTGGCAGCCTACTCAGTAAGTGTGTGTCAAACTGAACCATTGTGTTTCTAGAACCTTCTGACCATGTGATCCATTCATTGGTTCATGAGTGGAGGTCTACTTTGATTACCAGACAAACGGGAGAACTGCAATACTTACCAAGCCAATAGAGATTAGCTAGTGGTTGTCTACATATTCAACTGAATCAAAATCTCTATGTTTCAAAAGTCATTTTAACATCTCCTATGTTGCTAGCATCATAATAGGCATTACCAGCATCCACTAATGACCAGGAAGACCACCTGTCCTCAAAAGATTTGTTCTCTAGAGAAATAAAGCTAAATCTAGATGCTACAAGAAAAGTCACAGCCTTGGGGTTTCAGTGAGAAGACAGACCAAATGCTTTTGAAGTAGTCAGAAAAGACGATAGGGTAAGAGATACTCCAAATGCCATTGGAAAATGGCTAAGACTTTGAAAAATAGAGATAGGGAAGAGGTAAACAGGAAGTGGGAGATGATGCTTTCTAGCCAAAGGAATATCACAGGAAAAGACATAGAAAAGCCCTGAGTATAGTTAGGTAACATGAGCACTCCTGATAGTTCACAATCTCACTCCAATGTGACTCATCTTCCATCCATTACCCGCACCTCCAGCCTCCAGCCACCTTAACTCCTTTCACTAGCCTAATGGTTCACAATAGAGTGATCAACAGAACTATTGTTGGGCCCCATGCCCAGATTTCAGATTCGGTAGTTTAAGTGATGCTGTGATCTGGGCCACTTTTGAGAACTGCTGCAAAACTTCCCTTTTAACACCATCACGGCAAATACCTGAAGGCATACTCCCCACTCCCACCCCAGACACCTTAGCAGATGAGTTTCAGAACTCACTCAGAGCCTTGGGTACTTCGCATCTGGAGGAACAACTGTCCCTGGAAACCAGAGCCAACTGTCCATTGGCAAAGTGGCCACCACCATTTCAGTTGCAGAGCAAGGCAGTGCTTTCCCATCATCCTGGCAAATGAAAGACTAACTTAGACCATCTGGTTCTGTAACACCCTCCTACACCACTGCTTAAAAGCAACCGAACATATTTTCTCTTACATTTTGTCAATAAAATATTGCTCCCCCAGGCTGTTGGCTTACCACATTTGCAGCCCTTAAGCAAAGTGGGAGGAGTTAGTGGTGGCACCAAGAGGACAGCCATGGGCAGAGCCCCTCAGCCTTTTGCTGTTGACTCTCCACTACCCCCTCTTCTTGGGGGCAGATCCTTAAACTGATGCCTCAAAATATTTTTTAAAAGCGCAACCAAATATATATGAAGACCTTTCCTGGCTGCTGTGCCCTTTCTGTCCTGTTAATTTTGCTTGGCTTTAAGGGAGTGAAAAATCAATGTCTAGCATTTCCAACGGCCAGGTAGAGTGTGTACACATTTATCAAGATTAATTAAAAAGTAACAAATTGTAAAGTAATAACATTAACAACCAGAAGAAAAAGTGTAGACATTTTGACAGTCTTTTTGAATTTCATTAAAAGATGGTAGTGACAAAAACCCCAGAGACTATTTCTACTTTACTAAAGAAATAGGTCACAGATTCAATTACAGTCACTGAAGCATGGACTCAATCTATCATGGCAAATTAAGTACATTTTAGCAACCTACTTTCCTTTAAAAATTTTATAGACACTTTCGGTGGAAGAAGAAAGACTATAGAAAAAAAAAAAAAGAAATTGCAAAACCAAGTCCCACCCTACTCCCCGCCCTAGGCTTTGAGTAAGCATTTGGCTTATTTGCTTTGGGTATAAGACAGAAAATCATTAAGAAATACTCAGCGTGCTCACAATTATTACTCTTCACTCTTTCATGGTTTAATGATGCAGATTTGGAATTGGGAGTGGGAAATGGCTCCAAATTAGAATCGCTAAGTCTTCAAAGTAGGGCTTTGTTCTCCAGGCGGGGCCCCACCCCCTGCTTTTAAAACAGGACTATTTGTACTCGATAGCTTTTATCCTTTTTTTTTTTTTTTTTTTTTTTGGCCTTTGAGTCTCAGCAGACCCATTGAGTTCATTTCTGGAAAGATAAACAAATAAATAAATAAGACTTGTGTGGCCTGTGGACATATGGTTTAGCAAAGTGCTGGTACTGGGAGAAGGAAACACCATCTTGCCCATAACAAAACTGGTTTCATGTTGACAACTGATGTTTAGGAAGGGCCTCTTGCCCAGCAGCGAGCAGGGACCATCTTCGAGACACGCAGCCACAGTAACCACCAAGCGTGAAGGACTGAGATCCTTATGTGTGCCCTTTGACAAATAAGAACCTGGGGCTGCTTATGGCCTTCAAAACCCAGGGCAGGAGTCTTAGGAATCTGTTGATTGGCCTGGCCAGGAAGCTTCAGGAGCCCAGGTGTAGGTCTTGCTCCTCAATGACGTGGCCAGCAAAGCCCCTAGTCCGGTCAGTGCTGGGAGTGCTTAATCCATGGCAGCGCCACCTTTTCTCTTACAGCTCCTCCGGGTCTTTTCCCAGTGCCTCTGTGTAATGGGCACAAAGAAGTAAGCAATTGCATGTGCTCCCCAGAGAAGCATTATAGTGCTTCATGCATCTCTAAATTATCTTGCTATTGCCCAATTAAATCAGAACCTCTCATCGGCCAGGCTGAAGGCTAAATTTACTGATTGAATCTCAGTAGAACTAACTGGTAGAAATAAATTTTTAATTTTAATTGCGAAATTGCAACTCCCTTAGAGATGAGGTTTCACAGCAGCTAGTACTCTCCAAAATATTGCAAATACAGAGGTATTCACAGTCTACTTGCTTGGTAGTATCTCTCTTCATAGATAGGTAAATGATAGAGATAGATAGATAGATAGATAGATAGATAGATAGATAGATAGATAGATAGATTTAGAGATAGATAAAGATAGAGACAGATAAAAATAGAGATAGAGATAAAACTGAGTCAAGAGCTACCAGGTCTTCTTATAGTACCAGCTCTTTGAAACTACAGAGTTGGTATGTCTACCTGTGTGCTCTTTAACTCCCATCTGTGAGACTATTCCTGGAAAGGGACAACAATGAGTTTGGGGATGACTCATGAGACCAGAAAGTCTAAAGACTGGCAGCAAACTGAGGCTGCAGGTTCTCCATATAAAGATGGTGAACTCACATTGGTACTCACGTGCAGTAGCTATACTTGTCCTGAATAGATGAGGGGACAAAAAAAGATGCGTATTTAGGTGGCTGCCTAGCCTCCCACTTAGTTTAAGATGGTGTGATACGTACATTTCCTCTATTTATCCTTCAGCTAACTTGATACAGTAGCAAACCCTATTGCTGCTTCTGAGTTTAAACCTGTACTACTGATGTCTTGGTGAAAAAAAAACAACCACTAAATATACCTAAATATATTTATAAATGTGTAATATATTCAGTAATGTTTAGCACATAATAATTTTATATGCTAAATACAATTTTATACTGTATTATGAATTACACTCAGTGCAGCGCGATGGTCATACTGTGAAAGGCCCCTGGGAACTGAGACCAAAGGAAGAGTTGTTCCTACCTCAAGTTCACTGGCCAAGTGTAGAAAATCCCACTGCAGGATTTAAAGCAAGGTCCTGTCCTCAAGCATTCTGGTTTAGCTGTTCCAGGGTGGGCCAAGTTTTGGTAGTTGTTTTTTAAGCTTTGTCAGGTGATTCTAATATATAGCATGGTCTAGTATCATTGATTTAAATTTTCTTTCTCTTTCTGTATTCGCTGAATTTGCATAATTTAAAATGACTTTCAGTGTGACTCCCTTATGCTGCTCTCTCCTGCCATTTGGGGAACAGTCAACTTCCAAGACCAACCTTGTTTCTGGAGAAGGATTCTTCCCACATGGGAAAGGCAAGGATGGTGCTGAGCCTGGCGAGTCTCTGCTCGGGGCCTTTGACTGTGCCTGAACACACATTTGCTAAAACTGACAAAGTAAGACAGGAGGTGGGGCTGCCCAGAAGGACAAGTGCTTCGCTTTGTAGCCTTCGAAATGATTTTAAACCCCTGAGATCAATGCTGATAAGATGGATATTTCAGATCAATGCTGGGCAGTATGAAGCCAGAAACTGGTCGGAAAACCTCTGGAAATACGTGAGATACAGCTCAAAACTCTAGATAAAATCCATCTTTCTCTTGTTTGAGTTTTTAAAAGGTAGAATCAGATGGTGCACTAGGCTTGGTGTCCTTGGGAGATGGCCTAGCATAATGGTTAGGACTACAGACACAGAAGCTAATTTGTCTGTGTTGAATACTCATTCTGCCATTCGCTAAGTGATTTGGGGCAGGATACTTAATTCCCATGTGCCTCACCTTCTTCATCTGCAAGATGGGGACGCTAATCACACCTAACTCATAGGGTAAATCTGAGGATTAAATTATGTAGTGCATGTAAACTGCTGAGTCTGGTGCTTGACACACATTATGTGCTGAAGAAATACAGCCATTGTTCTATGTATTATCAGAGGCGTTATGCAGGGTAACTAATTGCTGGATGATTCATTCTATGTCTTCAGTTACATTTTCTTTTCCTAGCTTACATAATAGAATAAAGGATATATTTTCAGAAAAAAGATATTGATGTCCACCCCTGGTGGATCATCAGTGAGGCAGTATAGGAAAGAGGGCTTGGAACTGGAAGCCTTGTACCTTTCAGCTACCTGTGGGTGACTTTGGGTCAAGCCCTTGGCATTGTTTGAATCCAAGTTTTATTAAGTTCAAACATAGGATTTACTTTCATTGCATCCTTTACTGAGATTTTCACTAGGTCCTTATGAAAAATTATTCATGTTTATGTCACACTTTACAAAGAACTTATAAATCATTGCATTCAAGCCTCATGCTAACATGTTGAAAAATATACTATTATCCCCAATTTACAAATGAAGAAATGGAAGTCAAGACTTTTCCCAAGGCCACCAAACTGGTTAAGTGGCAAGTACTTAAGGCTCGCAAGTTCAGTGATGTTTCTAATAGACCGTAAGTGCACCATTTTAGATAAATGGCATATGGCAACATGCCTAGGAAATTATAGTGTGCAATATAAGTGGTATGTATTATCATTATTTGGGGACTTTCCCTTTGATATTATGTAAAGAGAAAGGTAGCACAGAAATAACAAGCCTTAGGTATTATAGTCAGTCACTCATCATTCATTAGCAGTAAAGTTGGTGCCCAGTGACTGAACCCCTATTCCCAGTGTTGATTTAGGACAGACATCATACTATTGATGCCTTTTATCATTTACCCTTCTTTCCTTTGCTGATTTTCACTTCAAGGTGATACACTGCTGACCTATTAAACAGTGATCTTTGTCCACATGAAAATTAATTAGCTGATAATTGTCTGGAAGATAGAACAGTGACTAAGAGTTTGGAAAGTAGAAGGAAGTTCTCTAGGAAGTAAACTAACCAGAGTTTTTTTGGTTGAGTTATTTCCTTCCATCTGAGTCTCATTCTGTCTGCCCCTACTCCTGCTCCCTGAGAAGCTCAAATATCTCTTGATGAACTTGGCATAATAACCACACACAGCTGGACGGCAATATGGCTTGAGAAGGAGTGTACTCACAGCCTGTAATGTTAGATGAGCTTCAATTTGTTCAAACTACTTGCTGTGTCAGTCTGACTCCAGGCATCAGTGTGAAAAATGGGAAATTTAGTTACCTATATAGATAGTAATAGCCACATTCATACCTTGAAATGTTGTAATATTTTTGAAGTTACAATGCACACACGTTTCAGGCGATTGTTGCCACAGTTTGGTGAAATAGGCAGGTGTTTTCTTCTTATTATAGAGTAAACAAAACTCAGACCTGGGGAAATTTTTGACTGGTCCTGTTTTACAGGGGCAGACTCATGTCTTTACTAACTCTGCCTTTTTGTGTGGACACTAATCTTTTGCCTACCCAGGACAACCACTACCAGGACAAAGTATTCTTTTATTTTGTAAAACTAGGCCCTTTTTTGGGGGGTGGAGCTCCTATATTCCCAACTATACATATTTGTTTACAGTTACAATGCATTGATCAGATCTTATACCCTGGACATGATTGATTGATAAAGGGTTGGACATCCAACCCAATGTAGGCCAATCTCTTCCCAAAATTTTTCAAATTGGAAATAGGAGACAGAAGTTTACAGCCATGGAAGCTTAGACAGCCGTGTTTTTCACTGTGTTGAGAAAGCTGGTTTGCATGGAAAGAATGAAGCCAGTAAGCAGAGAAACAGAGTTGGGGAAAAGAGAGAATCTGGGTGGCGTTGGAGTCCCTGGTACCAGCTGTTCCTAAGACTGTGTCCGTTGGGAAAATTATCCTTCAATAAGGGTTTGTAAGAGTTTTTTCTCTCAGATTCAGCTCTATCATAAAGCGGTGACAGGCATTGCATTTCAGAACCTTTAGCTCTTTAACAAAGTGTGGCAACATTTTCGACTTTTATTAGAGAGTTCTTAATAATTTCTTGTGCAAATAAGGCCAATTAGACAATCCTGAAAACAGGCATATGGATCCATGTATACTATTTGGGTTGTGCAAGAAGTTCAGAGTGTACTATGTGGAATGCATTAGGCGAACATCTGAGAGATTTGAGATTAATGAAGTGGGAAAATAGGAGGTTGGTGCAAGGGAGCTATATGTAATTGACATCCACTCATTTGTTAAGGTCAATGTAGAACCTGTTTTTTGGTAGATATGTCTTTTTTTTTTTCTACAGCATCTTAAAAACTATGCATAAAATTCTCAGCAATATAATTCTTACATTTGTGAGCATTTACATTAACAACGCCTTTTATGCACATTCTTGCCTTTGCTTGTCACAAAACCTTGTGAGATAGGGAGGTCCTGTCACTCCAAATGCTTGTAGTAATGAGGACAGAGGGGCTTGAAAAAATTAGTGGTTGAGGAGACAGAATGCCCTCGGAGGTTTTATTGGATAGTACTTCTTGACGGTGTTTATATAAAGGATCTAGCAAGTTTTCAACCTAAGTGGATGTTTTTGTTCTTGGTATTTTTTCCCACCTCTTAACACTTGCCTGCTCTAAATGTCTGAATTCTCCAGGGTTACTGAGCAATCCTCTGCTTTTTAGGCACCAAGTGTAGCTCGTGTAATATCTATGAATTTAGTTTTTAAGTTTTCTAAAGCTAATGCCTAAGGCCTTCTTCAGAATATTTTACAATGGTTTATTGCTTTTTAAAAATAATTGTGTATCAACCAGGATTGGCCTAGGACTCTCATAAATTTTTATAAACTTAAAAGAAACGATGTTTTATAATTTGTTAAACTCCAAAAAATATAGGTATATTTTATGATCTCCCCATTTTTTCCTTCTCCTGGCTTTCTTTTTGTATAATGCACAGCTCTCCCACTCTTAGCAAGGAGGGTTTGAGTGCAATTGGCTTCAGCATAGGGATTCTGATTGGGTTAAGGCAATAAGCCACGCCTATCTTCCCAGCTGAGATTGGTTCAGGGATGGACCCTTAACCCCGTCTGAGCCAATGAGAGGGTGGGTCACAGGCGAGAGAACTTCAGGAAGAGGCATTCTTTTCTCCAGAACAATGTGATTCAGTGGGACCCTGTGAGACACGGACCTATTTGCAAATAGGTCATAGGTAGAATAATAAAACTCTAGTGTCATAATTATTTTATATAGGGCCTGATTTAATGCATTGTGGAATATTCCACTGAATGAAATCATCTTGTAGACTGTAAGCAGCAGACTAAGATATTAAGAACTAGAATTTGTACACCGTGATTGATTATATTACAATAATTTAGTTCAAAGTAGACATCATTATATCTCATCTAGAATTTCCTTCTAATGTGAGGAAATGTTTCTGCATGGTAAATTTGGTCAATTTTGCAGCACCTGTTTCTGAGCCAGAGACCCTTACAACTCCCTGCGGCTGGAATGCTGGGGGTTCTGGAAGCTGGGCAGCACCCCTTTGACTCTAATATGGAGTGGACATGTGCCCTAGGGTTTCCCCTCCAGTCTAACTGTTGTCTATCCCAGGCCTACTGTTTTCAGGAAATGCTATACAGTTGCATAAACAAGTTCAAAACCAGCTCCATTTTTCTGGTTGACCGAATAGTGCTGTTTAACATGGAAAACACATTTACTGGTGAGTCCTCCTTTGTAGTTAAATTCATTCCGATTGCCCCATCTTGTGGAAGAAAGAAAAATAGCCAGATTCTTCTCTTTGGGTATATACTGTAAAAGAAAAAATTCAACCCATTTATCTCTCTCTTTGTCTACAAGCTCTTCTCTTTCACATGATACATTCCAAATACATTATTCTGAAGAAAGGCCTGTAGTCCTCACATATTTGCAACCTGATCCCCTTTCTTTACTGGTACAAGACCAGTATGCGATGGTTGCATTCAGAAGTGCTAGACAGAAATTCATTGCTGCAGGGGAGAACTCAAGCTCTGCTACCAGAATGTAGGCCCAAGTCAGAATCCATTTGTGCAGGTCAATCTCTCAACCTGCTGAGTTATTCTCAGAATCCTGGAACAATAGTGATCACTCTATTTCCAGGTATTTGAGATACTCTCCTCTTCTTAAGCCAGTCTGCCTTGTATTCACTCACTGGTACATCGTTGTCTATTCAGAGGAAGAGTAGATGGAATCAATTCACATATTTGTTCATTCACCAATCTACTTATTTATCCATTCATTCACCTTTTAACTTTTTTTGTTTTTTTAACTTAACATTTATGTATTGAGAATCTTCCATATGCCGTGTACCATGCTAGGTACTAGGGAAACAGTAATGGGCAAAAAAGTCACATAATCTACCTTTATGGAATTGGCACTTTTATTGGAGCTGGGTGCAGATATTAATTAAACAATCAGACACATATATAATTGAAAGTTGTGATAAGTCTATGGAGGGTACTGTGGGACCATAAAAGGAAGACCTAATGTATGGAACCTGACTTTTCAGGATAAAGGGACATTTGAGCTGAGATCTGAAGAGTAGACACTCAAGGAGAGACAGGGGCGTGTGGCAAGAGCATTACAAGCAGAGCCTGTGAGCTGGGAAGAATGCAGTGACTGCAGCGGAGAGAAAGGAGACAGAGTGGCTCCCAAGAAAGTTATAGAATCAGTCCGGAACCAGATTATGTTGGGCTTTGAGGACATATTAGGAGTTTGGCCATCTGACCACATGGTTTGCAAATAGAAAGCACTGTTCTTTCATCAAACAAGGCTGATTTAGTCTGACCTTCCTTTGCTCTGGCTCACAACAGTTGTGAAAAAGGAGCCAAACCAGTGCTTTCTGGGTGTCCCTATCTCCTTCTGGGCCAGCAAAATGCGATAGGTTCCGCTATTTATCCTGTGCCCATCCTCTGCAACCTTTGAATCACAGCTACATCTTGATAAGTTGTTGTGTAATTTCTCAAATTACAGTTTCTTTGTGGGGGACGCCTACGATTTACCTAGCACCTAAGGGTGTTTGTTTGTGGGTACAAATGACTGTTGATTCTGTCTCTAAGCAACAAAGAACAGCTTGCCTCTGCAAGCAGTCAGCCTGAAAGTTGCACAACACTGACATCTGCTGCTTGTATGCAGTCTGAGATTGTACCAGGTCAGAAAGAGGAAATGTAGTAAAACTAAATGTTTGAAAACATTGGGCAAATGCGCACACACACACACACTCACACACACACACACACACACACACACACACACACACAGGTGTGCGCACACAGCTCCTCTGCAACCTTTGGTCTTGTACTTCTGATTTTTCAATAATATACAAGAATAGAAGGCTAATTTCAACATGATGTTTTCTTACTGTCAATATTTGCCAATTGGACGAGGTGTTCACATGATGGAAGATGAAGTTTCTGCTTGGCTTTGGAGGAAAAACAATTGACAAAAACCTAGATCAATGTTTTCACTTTGCAAATATTAATACAAGGCATAGAAATAAATGAAAAAAGGTATCAACTTTCATCATAAAAGCAGCTTAATGATAGTGATTT